CTCCTCCCAGCCTGCAGCAGTAGCGCCGGGCAAAGTCCTGACTGAAACACTTCCGCTGTGGCCTCATGGCTGGCAGCAAACGCTCTTCAGAAGAGACAAGTCCAAATCCCCAGCTGGTTCGGGATATTTTCAGTTTGTTTTGTCGCTTGGGGCAACTATTCCTCGCAGATTTTTCCTAATGAAATTTTCAACTTAAAAAATGTGTAGACCTGTCAGAATGGCTAAAATAAAAAACACCAATGATAGCCTTTGCTGGAGAGGTTGTGGAGAAAGGGGTACACTCATCCATTGCTGGTGGGAATGCAAACTTGTGCAACCACTTTGGAAAGTGTGGCGGTTTCTCAGGAAATTCGGGATCAACCTACACCTGGACCCAGCAATACCACTCTTGGGAATATACCCAAGAGATACCCTATCATACAACAAAAGTATATGCTCAACTATGTTCATAGCAGCATTGTTTGTAATAGCCAGAATCTGGAAACAAGCTAGATGCCCTTCAATGGAAGAATGGATGAAGAAAGTATGGAATATATACATATTAGAGTACTACTCAGCAGAAAAAAAATGACTTCTTGAATTTTGCATGCAAATGGATGGAAATAGAAAACACTATCCTGAGTGAGGTAATCCAGACCCAAAAAGAGGAACATGGGATGTACTCACTCATATTTGGTTTCTAGCCATAAATAAAGGACATTGAGCTTATAATTCATGATCCTAGAGAAGCTAAATAAGAAGGTGAACCCAAAGAAAAACACATAGGCATCCTCATGAATATTAACCTTCATCAGGCGATGAAAGGAGACAGAGACAGAGACCCACATTGGAGCACCGGACAGAAATCTCAAGGTCCAAATCAGGAGCTGAAGGAGAAGAGCATGAGCAAGGAACTCAGGGCCATGAGGGGTGTACCCACACACTGAGACAATGGGGATGTTCTATCGGGAACTCACCAAGGCCAGCTGGCCTGGGTCTGAAAAAGCATGGGATAAAACCGGAGTCTCTGAACATAGCGGACAATGAGGACTACTGAGAACTCAAGAACAATGGCAATGGGTTTTTGATCCTACTGCACGTACTGGCTTTGGGGGAGCCTAGGCAGTTTGGATGCTCACCTTACTAGACCTGGATGGAGGTGGGTGGTCCTTGGACTTCCCACAGGGCAGGGAACCCTGATTGCTCTTCGGGTTGATGAGGGAGGGGGACTTGATGGGGGAGGGAGAGGGAAATGGGAGGCGGTGGCGGGGAGGAGGCAGAAATCATAAATAAATAAATAAATAAATAAATAAATTTATATTTCTTCATACAAAAAATGTGTAGGATGGCTGGGCGGTGGTGGCACACGCCTTTAATCCCAGCATTCTGGGAGGCAGCGGCAGGTGGATCTCTGTGAGTTCAAAGCCAGCCTGGTCTACAAAGTGAGTTCCAGGACAGCCAGGGCTACACAGAGAACCCCTGTCTTGAAAAAACAAAAAAGAGCCGGGCGATGGTGGTGCACGCCTTTAATCCCAGCACTCGTGAGACAGAGTTAGGTGGATCTCTGTGAGTTCGAGACCAGCCTGGTCTACAGAGCTAGTTCCAAGACAGGCTCCACAGCCACAGAGAAACCCTATCTCGAAAATCCAAAAAGAAAAAAAAAGAAAAGAAAAAACAAAAAAGAAAAAATATGTGTAGAATTGTGTCGACTAAAAATAAGGATAGATTTTGTCTTCTCTTACTTATGGCCCCCTTATTTTTTTCTCTTGTCTTATTGATCTAGCTAAGATTTTGGCACTATATTGAATGTGAGTGGAGAAAGTGGCCTCATTGACTCATTCCAGATTTTAGAGGAAATTTTTCAATTATCCCCCCAAAATGTAAAGCTGGCTCTAGGCTTGTTGTCTAGAGCCTTTAAGATAATGGCTTGTGCTCCTTCCACTTCTAATTCCTTCAGCGCTCTTCTCATGAAGGCCTTTTCTGGGAGCCAGTGAGATTGCTTAGTGAGTAAAAGAACTGTTTTAGTTAGTTGTCCTCTGAACGCCACATGCATGGAGTGTCATGAGTGTATGAACATGCCCATACAAATATACACTAACAAACCATACACATACACACAACAATAATAAAAGGTTTTTTCTACAGAAAAAATTAAAGGAAGTAGAAAGGGGACTTGTATTAGTTGGGAACAGTAAGAGGATTGGCAGAAGCGGGAGGGGGACAAGAGGCAGCCAGGAGTGACATGGCCAAAATGCAATACATACATGTATGACAATGTCAAAATGAACCCATTATTTTCTATAATAAACACGTAACCATTGAAAGAGTGGATTCAGAGCTGTGTGGTAGCATGCCCCTGCAGTGCCAGCTACTCGGAAGGCTGGAGCTGGGGGCTCACTTGGGGCCCTGAAGTTCAGCCCCAGCCTGGGCGGCCTGACATGACTTTGTTTCAAAACAAAGAAACATGAGTCCAGGTCTAGGGGTGGCTATTAGTGACAACATGCTTACCTGGCACATGCTGGGCCATAGATTCAACAGTCTCCGCATTACACACAGACACCCAGGAGATTCACACTCAGGTTTAGACGTGTGCCAGCAATTTGAGTGACTCTGAGTACTGCCGGGCCGGGAATAGGGGAGGAGGCAAGGTTATCACCCTCAGTACCTAGTCTTAGCTAAAGAGCAAAGAAACTACGGAGTGCCAGGGCTTAGAACGGTACTGGGGGACTGAGGAGACAGCTCACGCAAGCACGGGAACCTGAGTTTGGATCCCCAACTCCCATGTAAAAAGCCAGGCACAACTGTGCATGGCTGTGACTGAGAAAGCAGAGGCAAGAGGATCATGGGGACTCATGTTTGCCATTAAGGAATTTCTAGGGTCACTGAGGGATTTTTTTTATTGAGCTCTAAATTTTTCTCTGCTCCCCTCCCTACCTCTCCCCTCCCCTTCAACCCTCCCCCAAGGTCTCCATGCTCCCAATTTACTCAGGAGATTTTGTCTTATTCTACTTCCCATGTACATTAGATCTATGTAAGTCTCTCTTAGGGTCCTCATTGTTGTCTTGGTTCTCTGGGATTGTGATTTGTGGGCTGCTTTTCTTTGCTTTATGTCTAAAAACCATTTATGCATGAGTACATATGATATTTGTCTTTCAGGGTCTGGGTTACCTCACTCAATATGATGTTTTCTAGCTCCATCCATTTGTGTGCAAAATTCAAGATGTCGTTATTTTTTTCTGCTGTGTAGTACTCCATTGTGTAAATGTACCACATTTTCCTTATCCATTCTTCAGTCGAGGGGCATTTAGGTTGTTTCCAGGTTCCTCTGAAGGATCTTGTCCAAAAACCAAGGTGGAGAGTAACAGACAATGAGAAAGGAAGATACCGATACCAACTGTAAATGAAGACACTCGCTGCCCTAGTCTGCTTCTCTATTGCTGTGATAAATATCATGATCAAAAGCCACATGTGGAGGGACAGGTTTATTTGGCTTACACATCACAGTTTATCACTGAAGGAAGCCAAGACAGGAGCCTGGAGCAGAAACTGAAGCAGAGACCATGAGGTACGTTGCTTACTGGTCTGGTTTCCCAGCCTTGGTTGGCTTGTGCTTCACACAAGCCAGGACCACCTGTGACGGGATGGCACTTCCCACAGTGGGCGTGGCACTTCCCACAGTGGGCGTGGCCCTCCCACATCCGTCAGTCAGTCAAGAAAATGTCCTAGAGCCATGCTGGCTGGCCAATCTGATAGAAGCAATTCCTCAGCTGACAGTCCCTCTCCCCAGGTGACCAGTTTGTGGTTCCATAACCAGAGCAGCTGGGCGAGCTGAGCAAAGCCCAAACTGAGTAACTAAAATAACTTGTCTCCTGAAGTTCATCATCCCCTGTCAACTCCTCGGTGCGGAGGCAGGAGGGAGAGCCACTGAAGATGAAGAGATGAATAGTTCAATCTCCGGATGCCTCAAACCTATGGGAACGACAAAGCCTTCCGTGGGTGAGGCTGGCCTGGAACTCTGGAGACCAACTTGGCCTTAAACTCACAGAGATCCGCCTACCTCTGCCTCCTGAACACTGGGATTAAAGGTGTGTGCCACCACCACCCTACTCCAAAACAGAAATTATAAATGGTGGAACTACTTCGATTTTAAAACAGTAATTAAGAGGACCATGAGGACAGAAAAACCATCTAACTTTGGTGGCAGGATTTGCTGGCACCATAGCTAAGGATGAAGATGCCCATACACTGCAGGGATGTTGAAAGACTTCACCTGCAAAAGGACATTCAGTTCTTGAAAATGTCCCCTGATTACATGATTTCCAAAATTAGGGCTCTTCTGAGAACTGTGAACTCTGAAAGAAATCAAAATCTTTTCTTCTTTTTCAAAAGCCACATAGTGAAACTGCCGACAAAAACACTAATGATTTCTTCACATTGAAGGGGAAAATATCCAGAAAGAGCAGCTTCTGCCTCCGTGAGGTGACAGTGTGCTGGAAGCTGCTTGTCACCTCTGCTGTTCTTGGCATTTGTGTCATTATTTGGTGACATGCTTTCAGCACTTACTTCGGTTTTCCTTTTCTTTTCTTTTTTTCTTCCAACCTACATGTGTGATTTCTCACTGAGCATAGTTTGGTGAGGCATGGGCGAGCACAGTAGAAGACTCCAGGAGTGTGGGACCACCGCTTATCCAGGGCACCACGATTGGGGACACAGGTGACCTCATAGCCACCAAGAATGAGCTGTTTCTCAGCTAGTATGTCTTCAGTTCATCTGCATCAAACTGGCTGAAGCTCGGCATCTTTGAGGTATGGATCGTCAGGCAGACAGAGAACTCGAACTTGGCTCTATAAAGGGCCTCAATCACGTATTTCTTCTTCTGTAGTTTGGAGCAGGTGGATATGATGACCTAGCCGGTGTGAAGCCTGGTCGGTGTGCACAGTGCCTAAAGGCACTCATACCTGTCTGGAGCCTAGACTGGGGTTAGCACTGAGATTAAAGACGTGCGTGCATGCATGCCAGGAAATTGTCTCCAAGGTCTGTCCCTTAGGACAACCCATATAAGCAAAAGGCTATGTAAAACTACTAAAGAAGCCACTCTTTGTAACCACTGCACACTAGGCCCACATGGGGTTGCTTGGCTTTTGAGACAGTCTCCCTCCGTAGTCCACAGTGGCTTTGAACTCACTGCCTCAACTTACTGAATGCTCTGACTCAAAAGCAGGCGCCACCATAGACAGCAAGAATGGGTAGGTCTCAATGTTATCCTCCACAAGAATGGGTAGGTCTTAATGTTATCCTCCACAAGAATGTAATTCTTTTTTTTCTTTTTTCTTTTCTATAATTCTTACTACATAGGAAAACACAAGTCAAAATTTATTGTTAGAAGCAACAAGAATTAATCATCACAATTTTTAAAGACAATTTTATATTTTCAGAACATACTTAGGTCAAGTGCAGTGGCACATGCCTTTAATCCCAACACTTAGGAGGCAGAAGCAGGTAGGTCTCTGTAAGTCGCAAGTCAGCCAGAGTTATTACCTAGTGAAACTGTCTTTTAAAATAACAACAACAAAAAGAAAAGTGCTGGATGTAATGGCACAGGCCTGTAACCCCAGCATTAAGGAAGATGAAGCAAGATCAGGAGTTCAAGACCAGTTTGAGCCACATAGAAATCTCTCAAAAATAGTCACTTAACTGTATGCAGCTAGGTTTTTGTCTTGAAAAGGCATTGAAAACATAAAACATTGTAGCAAGCAATCAACACTATTTTTTTTAACGCTCATTAAGATACCATGTATGAGAAATGTCTTCATTATTAGCAATCCATTGTTTCATGATGCCAATATCACTGTTTTAAAAAGAACAGCTCAGCGTGGTGGTACACACCTACTTTTCCCAAGACAGGGGTTTTCTGTGTAGTCCTGACTGTCCTGGATACCAGGCTGGCCTCGAACTCCCAGAGATCCACCCGCATCTGCCTCCCGAGAGCTAGAATTAAAGGTGTGTGCCACCACAGTCAGCTGGTAACACACACCTTTAATCCTCGCACTTGGCAGAGAGAGACAAGCAGATCTCTATGAGTTTCAAGCCAGCCAAGCTACATAGGGAGACACTTTCAACTAACTGAAACCAAATACACTTTGTGTTATGGGGTATTCACCAGAGAAGATTGCTCAGACATGGGTTTAGCCAATAGAAAGTCTTCATTAGGGCGCCAACTACACTGGGTGTTCAGGATCCCAGTGTAGCCCTGATCCTTTCTCAGGGTGAGCTTTTAAGCACAAAAGCCATGTCCTGAGTTGACATACTTCAGCTAACAAGAACAGTTAGCCAGAAGCAGAACTACAGAAGCCAAAAAGCAAAGTTAGTACATTTAGAACCTTTCCCAGAACTATGGACTTTGATGGATTGGGTCTTTGTTTTAGTTTTGGCAGGCGGTGCTGTCTATGTTCTCTGAGTATTACAGCCTGAATGGTACTTCCATCATGGAGTCAGTTGTGCTAAGGTCTGGGGCCCTCTAAGTCTTTGCGTGTGATAAAATTGTGAAATTAAACTAGGAGCTTTTTGAGTATGGTAGTGGGCACTTGTAATTTCAACTATTTAGGACACTAAGGCATGGGGAGAGGATCACGTGAGCCCATTAAGTTGGAAGCCAGCCTAGGCATAAAAGAAAAACCCTGTCTCCAAAGACAACTAGGAGGGGTTGAACACTATTATTGAAACATGGTCCACAGTAATTTTTCAACTTGAGACAAGTTTTACCATCTTGGGGTGAGTTGCTTTTTTGTTTTATTTTTTATTTTTTGTAAGAATTGACATGATGTATGTGTAGATTGTTTATATAAAATAGAAAGGGGTAAATATGTCTTTAACTGAAATTTTCCAGAGAGTTGGATAATTTATATAAAGGTGATTTTTCTTGAGGGAGGGTCATCTTAGCTCAGGGTTATCTCAAAATATCTATGTAGCCCAGACTAGTCTTCAGCCCATGATTCCCCTGCCTCAGCCTCCCAAACACCACCACACCCTACTTTAATACTTTTCATCTCTGCATCATTTAAATTCCCTTCATTTCAATAAATTTAGTAAATATTTTAAAATAGAGATCTGGGGAGATAGCTCAGTTGGTAAACAGTTTGCCACACAAGCTTGAGGTTAGAGATGATCCCCCAGATCCCACATAAAAAGCAATACATGTTGGCACCTGCTTGTAATCTCATTGCTGAGAAGGCGCCAACAGGAGGGTCCCTGGGGCTCACTAGTCAGCCAGCATAGTCTAATTGCTGAACCTCAGGTGTCAGTGAGGGAGATACTGTCTCAGAAAACAAGGTATCCAGTTGCTGAGCTAAAACAACTGAGGTTGACTTCTGACCTTTATACCCCCCCCCAACACACACACACACTTGCATTCCCTACCATTTTTTTTAAAAAAAAAGAGTATGGTACATGGGAAATGGCTCAGTGGGTAAGAGCACTCGCTGTGAAAGCATGAGGCACTGAGTTCAAATCCCCAGCACCCATGTGAAAAGTCGGACATTGTTATCTGAGTCTGTAAACCAAGCATTGGAGGGACAGAGACAGATCCCAGAAGTTTCCTAGCCAGCCAGCCCAGTGAAGACAGCTAGCTTGTGATTTAGTGAGAAATCCTATCTTAAAGAGTAAGGTCAAAAGTGATGAAAAAGATAGCCTGTGTACACCTCCGGCCTAGAGCTCTTAAACTTGTACACACATATGCATATGCGAGCCATAGTCCAAACTTTCAAGGGTTTGGGGGGCATTTCAAATCCAAACTGTGGGCTGGAGAGATGGCTTAATAGCTAAGAGCAAATGCTGCTCTCGCAGAGGATCTGAGTTTGGGTCCCAGCACCTATATCAAGTGGCTCACAAGCATCTGTAACTACACTTCCAAGAGATCCATCATCCTCATTTGGCCTCCGAGGACACCTGCATACAGGTAGCATTCATTCACACAGGCGCACATGCACACACATATTTTAAAAATAAATTTTTAAAGAATATTTTTAAGATCCAAATCATAGCACACAGTAAATAAGACAATGTGGTGTTGACACGGGGATAGACATATTTCTGGGAGAAATAATCTTGCTGCATTTCTGTGGGCAATTTGGTAAGAAAAGGAAAGTGTTGTGGAACAATCTTTTTGCACACTGTGAAGATGTGTTGCTCTCATTAGTTTAATAAAGAGCTAAATGGCCAATAGCTAGGCAGGAGGAGGTATAGGCAGGAGAGGCAGACAAAGAGAACTCTGGGAAGGAGTGTAGAGTCGTCAGGAGACGTAGGGAGAAACAAAATGAACATGTCATGCTGAAAAAAGGTACTGCCAAGTGGTTGAGTGTAGAGAAGAAATATGGTTAATTTAAATTGAAAGAGCTAGTTAGTAATAAACCTAAGTTATTGGCTGTGCATGTATAACTAACAATAAGTCTCTGTGTGGTTATTTGGGAGTTGGCTGGCAGGACAGACTGTTCTGCCTACAGGAAAGTATTTACAAGTAGCATCAGCACAATTGAATAACTAGAGTATTTTTGCTAGAGAAATGAGAACTTATGTTTACCGAACCTCATGCACACACGCGTATGGCAGCTCTATTAATAACAACTCCAAGCTGGAAACAACCCAAATGCTCTTCAGTGGTTAACTGGATAAACAAACTGTACCACATGTGTGCATAAATATAATAAAAAGAATAAAACATTGATTTGCTCAATAACTTGGATGAAACTCAATGGAAAAAGAAACGCAGTGAAATCGTGCCAAGTGCAATAGTCTCAAAAGGTAAGAGACTGGATTACCTCATTTGTAAGCCTTTCTTGAAAAGACAAAAGCAGAGTGGTAAAAGACTGCAGAGACTTCGGGCCAAGAAGAAGGTGTGGTGACAAAGAGATTTTAGGCTGTGGGATCATTTCTGAAATGTTATCCTGTCAGTTACATGAACCCATGCAGGTGGTAAACTACATAAAATTCAAAGTGAATTCAATAGGTTTCTAATATATTCATTCACTCACTTTCTCTTTTTGTTTAAGAAAATTCTTATTTATGCCGTATCAATTCCATACAGGTAAGGAATGTATCTTGACCATATTCATCCCAAACTTCTCCCCTCTTGCTCCTTCCAGTCATCCCTAATATATGTTTTTTTTTTAATTTTCCCCAGTGAAACACATTAAGAATCCTTGTTTTCTCCAAAACTGTTTTTTCTGCAGGTATTTATATGCCTAGAGATTAGTTCTGTTTGCTTCTGAGCCATTCATTTTTCTCCACGATATTTGTAAAGAATCCTGCTGCATTGCCTCTTTTGCATCTAGGTTTTTTTTCTGGGTATGACATAGCCCTAGGTGTTGAGATAGCACAATCAACTTATGCATTTTCTGTTGCTATAGCATCAGGCAGTTTTCGTCTTTTTTCTATTACAATCAGTTTTAGTGCATGAAGATTCCTGTATTTCTTGCATGGGCAAGAATACGAGGGGTTAGGGTGTAATGCATTGTTAGAGTGCTTTGCCTAGCACGTTTAAGGAACTGGGCTCAATCCCCAATATCACACACACAAAAATAATGTTCACTTTCGCTAAACTAAGACAGTAGAAAAGTAAATCACTGTCTATCCATCATGTAGAAAGATAGACAATGTGACGATAAATTAAGTCAAGTCATGAGAAACATTTGAGACGACACTAGCCACCACTTGGATACATTACACAAATGTCAGCTTAGTCACTCTTGTAATGACAACTCGTGACTCTTGATGGTCTGTGGGTCAAAGTAAACAATGTGACATTAAACTCCCTCACATAACCTCAGAGTTCCCGTGATTAGATACGAGGACCAAGAGGCAAAGTCTTGTGACCGTAGCAGCTGGTTTCATCAGAAAACCATAGAGATGACAGGCCCATGGTTCCTATTGCAGCTTAAGCACTAACTCTACCTGGTTACCCTGGGCCTCTAGCGATCTAAGTCAGCCCGTCCCCCATCGACTCTGACCTGCTCTTTCTGATCTTGGGCCAAATCTATTCTCCCATGGCTTCAGCTGTCTCCTCCCCATGAACACAGCCTGCAGGCTGAGAATGTCCTTACACCCAACATGCAGATGAGGGTGACAGGAGCTGGGCCTGCAGCTGCATTTTAGGCCTGGG